ATCAAGGACTACCACGGCACACTAGCACACACAGGACTGGCCACAGAGGACCGATTTCAAAATCCATATCCTTGACACTCATCTTGATAAATTCAAGATAACGGGGGTTGGGACGTGTACAGAAAAGCAAGACAAGCGTATCAACCAGGATATACTGGACTTTGTACGCCGCAAACAAGGATCGTATTACGAAAATATGATGATCGAGGGACTATTTTTTATGGCGGGGTCTCTTTTATGTAATCTTGCAATAAATAATTGCTACTTTTGAATCCTATGTTGTTTTATTCCTACTTTGCGCAAACGATAATTTTCACATTAGCTAGTTTTAATATAAATAGGTAAAATTCAGATATATCATTATCCTGATTACAAATGCAAAGTTTGAAGTAAATAATATTTTTCATACTTTAAACGCGGAGGTAAATAGGACAATAAAAGTCTCTCCCCAAGGACAAAATTCATGCTACACAGTGGCATTTTACGATATTTGTTCCTAAAATGTCTAATATATGTAAGCTGACCTTAAATCACTGACTGGCAGGAAACGTTTTCCATGATCTAGTGTTTAAAATAAAATATATTTCACTGAATTAACATCTGTACGCATCTTCCAAATAACAATGTTCATTATCTTTCAAAATCCCAATGATTAATAAGCGTTTCTGACATTTTAATCATAATAAAATATTAATGTTGCTTTCTGATGTACATCAATTCAAACAAAGGGGGGTAGCGTAATTCTTAACAATTCTTATATTATTTATTCTGAAAAAAAAAAGTCACATTGACAAAAGATGCAATACATGCAATTTAAAGAAACACAAACTAATAAATGTATTAAGAAAACATGTTATCCCTGGGTATAACGATAAACTACAAGCGGCAGCAAGCCCTCTGATACAGAGATTTTAAGAAGCGTGGAACCATTTCCTAATTGCTGTTGTTCCCAGGTCCACCCTGACCCTGGTGTCACCATCTGTTAGCGTCCAGAGCTAGGGGCAAATAGTGAATATCCATATTGGTGTTAAAACACTATGAAAATGTAGAAATACATTTTTGTAATGTGTGTACCACTAATTCATTTTCATAGTAAATAAATCGCTTTTGAAAAAAAAAAAAAAAAAAAAAACGTTACCATCAATATATTTTTGTAAGGAAAAAAAACATTACCAGGAATACATTTTTGCAAAGAAAAAAAAAACATTACTAGCAATACATTTTTGTAAGGAAAAAAACAAAACATTACTAGCAATATATATATTTTTAAGGAAAAAAAAAAACACTTTTGTAAGGGAAAAAATGTAAGTACAAAAAATATTACCAGCAATACATTTTTTTTAAGAAAACAAATACCAGTATTAGATTTGTGTTAAGGAAATTAGTAATACTCCCAAGAAAATTAAATGACGCATCAGGAGTTGATATGCCGCTAAACATATGAAACATGGTACAGTAGAGTAAAGAAAGAAATTAACTTCTTTGAAGCTATCAATAGTTCAAAACCCTCTTTAGCTGGTGTCTCTGAAATACGTGTCACGTGTTTTATAGGAGAGAGAGAGAGGCGGGGAATAAGACCGTAATGCTGAGGGAAAAGACGCCGTGACTTTCAAAAATTGTGCTGCTTTCAGTTCTTGTCAGAAGCGGTTTTCCAAAAATACTTAAACCAAGACTTGATTAAATTCAGGTGTTGAAAACAAAAATTGAGCAAAGGAAATTCCGAAAAGGTCGAACAATCAGTCAGCAGGTGATTGATGGCTTTTGTTTCAATTCTGAATAAATATAGATCTGCTAAGAGATTCGAATGTATTTTAAGTATGGCCATTGGGCGTCTAAGGGTGTCAGACCAATTCTGCTTGATTCAGGAGACATTTCGGGCGAGATCCAGCTCATCCCGTTTGGAGGATATCATTATTTTTAGCATCTGTTAACCCACTAAAAGTCCGTACAGGTACTTAAGGTAAACGGTAACTCATTGATTTTGTTATGTACGCGTAAGAGGAGGAGAGAAGATGTGCATATAATGAGGATATACAGGAAAAATAGGGATTAACCGTTGATTGAAGGGGTTAAATTTGTAGCAATCGCAGAAGGAGCCTCACCTAAGGGGGTGGCTTGTGAAAGTAGCAACTCTTGTAAAGAAACTGCGCGAATGTAATTCAATCCTTACCAGCGGTATACGAAGAGAATGATCTCTCTCGTATTGGAGAATACAATTATTTTTAGCATATATTAACCCACTACAAATACGAACAGGTACTCAAGATAAAAGGTAACTCATTGAGGTTATTATATACACATAAGAGGAGGGTGTAAGATGGGCATATTATGAGGATATGTACGAAAGATAGCGGTTAACTGTTGATTGAAGTGGTTAAATGTGTAGCCTTCGAAGAAGCGCCATCTTGGTTGTTTGCCCATGGAAGTATCGGCTCTTGCAATGAAACTGTACGAATTCTCTCATTATTCAGCGGAATACAAAGACAATGATTTGTTCCAGAGTATGTCGCATAGCGTGTCTGAGATGTGAAGGCCTGATCTCATAGAACTAAGGAATGGAATTTGTCAGGACATTTGCCATGGAAATATCGATAGATTTGCGACAGTCTTGAGACATTTCGTCTCTGGGTTAACGATCGTATAATGGAATAAAAGTCATTGCCCGCACGCCCGTGAAGACTCTTTTACGATTACAATGTGAGGATTGGTCAGCTTCAGTGAATACAACGAAGTAATTGTTAATCGGATCCGATTCTAGTCACGATAGAGCATATCAGGCCGACTCAGGTTTTCCATGACACGGTAAACTGGTCACTTTTCCAGCATCTTTAATCATGGATCATCCATATGAGTTGCACTACAGGCCTGGGCTGAACTTGAATCCCATTAAGCGTTCAGTGCAAGGATTCTTTTTTGAGAAGTAAGCCTCACATCATTCGGAGTCTGCTAGGTGAAGATTGACATAAAAATAATTTTAAGAACATCTTCCTTCGTATCTCTTAACTCTCTCTATATAAAACAGAGGATATCTCTGTCTATGTCGATCTGTCTGTGTGATAGCTTTTCACTCGATATCTATCCAACGGATTTTGATTCTAAACTTGGCACTTACATTGTACAATGTAAGTGACAGGTTCGTAGCGTAAAAAATCGATAAATTTTAAAAAATCAATAACAGATAAATCAGTACCGATAAATTCAACTTTTTCCTCCGATTTCGTTCATGTAGATTACTTACATCATCACGAGCTCAACGTTACCTCATTTCTATTTCTACGCCACAGCGGTTAGCGAAAAACCGCGAAAAACGAAATATTGATTTCAACAGTAATTTTAACTAAAATCTCCCTCCATTTTCAAGCAATTTAATATAAACTACACTCAACTGTAGCCAACAATTGAGTCTACTTATATAGTGCAAAACACGTGGAAATAACGAAAATTACGATTTTTACCGGTTTCTTTTTTATTTTTCGTTGACGATTCAACCAATTTTCATCAAACTTAACAATTGCTTTATAAACGTATACTCTTTTACCTCCCTGGTAGCACACTGACAAATTGAATTTAAGAAACTCCAAAATAATTGTGGTCTGAAATGGGTCTTCATGATGCTTGTTTTACCCCTTCATCACCTCGGCTAAATTCGATTGAATAAATACAGACTACTTTTGTTATATCAGTAACTGCATTAATTCGAAATATTTTTTTAATGAAAGTACTTTAAAGTAATTGAAGAAGACAGACTCTGTTACATGTAAACATGATGCTGTTTTTGCTCCATTCTAATTGAACGCTTTTTCTGATCGTCCTGCTGGGTATGGCTGCTAGTTTCCGAAATAAATTTCCATAACTTGTAAAGAATATAGACCAGAAAATCTCTCACAATGGTGAAGTAAACAACTGAAATGCAGAAGATGTTTCAACGAAGGGCAAAGAGAAGGCGAAACAAAAGCAGTTTTAGCAAAGATTAAGAATACAAGCTAGACGAAGTTAGAAAAAAAAGAGAAAAAAGAAAGTCGCGGTTCATATTGCCATTGATGTGCAAACCGAAAGAGAGAAAAGCGGAGAGCAAAAAGCAGAAAATAAAGAAGTCGGATAAATTTCAGGGAAGCAAAGAAAGATATTAAAACAAATACAAAAAAAAATAACGAAAAGAGATATAGATAACTAACTGGTTCACTTGACTTTGTTGACTTCCGGGAGATAAAGAATTAAGCAGTTTAGCTAAGACAGTATTAATGCAGCTGTTGCATCTATTGCGATAATGCAACTTGACTTCGCGAATGCATATATATGTGAATTTCTACAAGAGTTTACAATGACGACAGAGATCCACAAATGACAAGGAAGTTTTTCAACCGTGACTCCAGGAGTGAACATTGAAGTCAACACACGGTGTCGACAGGCTGTTTCATGCTGGACGCAATCGTCAGACCGTCTGACGATTGCGTCCAGCATGAAACAGCCTGTCGCCTCTAAATGTTGACTTCAATGTTCACTTTTATATTTATATTTACATATGCTCGATCTCTGATATTGAGCACTTTATCCCATAAATATAGCACACCTTAAAACTATATTCTTCATATATATGTGTGTGTTTGTGTTTGTGTTTTCGTTCCTATATATCTAACGCAGTTATATCTATCTATCTATCTATCTATCTATCTATCTATCTATCTAATACTATTCTTAATTTATCTATCTATCTATCTATCTATCTATCTATCTATCTATCTATCTAAGACTATTCTTAATCAATCAATCTATCAATCTATCTATCTAATTCTATTTATAAACTAAGTCTATGTTGTCTTTCTGTTTATCTATCTATCTATCTATTTATCTATCTATCTATCTATCTATCTATCTATCGAAGACTATTCTTAATTCATCTATCTATCTATCTATCTATCTATCTATCTATCTATCTAAGACTATTCTTAATCAATCAATCTATCAATCTATCTATCTAATTCTATTTATAAACTAAGTCTATGTTGTCTTTCTGTTTATCTATCTATCTATTTATCTATCTATCTATCTATCTATCTATCTATCTATCTATCTATCGAAGACTATTCTTAATTCATCTATCTATCTATCTATCTATCTATCTATCTATCTATCTATCTATCTATCTATCTATCTATCTATCTATCTGTTTCTTCATTATCTACCTATTTATCTCTGTTAGCTTAATTATTTTTATATAATTTTCCTCGGCATTCTCTGAACACTTCCAAACTTTATAAGTTATCATTCATCTTTGTGTGTTTGTGTGTTGTTTGTCTTTTTCTTTTTCTTTTGTTTGTTTCCGGATAATCAGCGTTCCAAGCCAGATTTGTTTGATTTTCTGCAAGGAATGTGCGTTCACGCGTTTTCACACGTGTATTTCAAATATAAATAACGGAGATTCATTTTCAGGACTCGAAACGTTAAAAAAAAAGTTCTCTTTTAATTTATAGTAATTCTTTTTCTTTACGCGATTTCTTAGAAATGTTTTACTTTCGGAGCGGGAAGGAAGTTTGTATTCCAATTTATAACATCATCAATCGCTCCTTACAAGTCAAGGTACCTGTTATAACGTTTTTTTATCTATGACAATTTTCTTTTTCTTATCTTTTTCACACTCTCAAAACATGAATTTATATACATTTAAATCAGATAATGTTTCTATTCTCAAAGTTGCAAAGGCTAAGACGAGACAATCCATCAAATTATATTACTTTTCAAATTAGAAACTGTAGGAAAACTACACTTTCTCGGCACTGTTTGAATTTATGGATATCAGAAAGCGATATTAATGTTTTATTATTGTAATACAGCAAATGTCAAAAATGCTTATTAATCATTAGATTTTTGAAAGATAATGAACAATGTTATTTGGGATATGTGTACAGAGGTTTATTCAGTGAAATATATTTTATTTAAAAGACTAGAAAAAGAAAAAAAAATGAATTATGTCAGTCAATGAATTAAGGTCAGCATAGATATATCAGCCATTTCAGGAACGAAAGTCGTAAAGTTATTAATATATTCGTCTTTGACAACCAGGGAGTTCTATACGAGGATTTCGTTTTTTTGGTAACGCGATATTTCCTTTGTTGACTTTGAAAAGGCTATTTAATCAAAAGGAACATTTGAATTATTTTAAATATGCTTATAGCTTTTATTTAATCTTAAAAGAAATGGCAAAGATCTAAATATATTTGAAGTTTAATTTTGATTTTGGTTGCAAGAAAAATTACAGTTAAGTTATGGAAAGACAAAAAAAATGGATAAAAGATATTTTTGTAATTAAATCAGGGTTTACACTGTAATCATATATGTAATCTAAAATATCTTCCATTAGACGATGAATGATGTTTGCCGATCATTGGGTTATTTGACTTTCGGGGGATTGATAGGAAGTGAGTGTAAACGTAAGTCCCGAAGATGTTTAGTTGTTTTTCTCTCTCTTTCTACATTATCTATCTATCTCTTTCACTCTCTCTCTCTCCCCTTTTTACTCTCTTACTTTAACTCTCTTTCTCTATAACTCTCCTCCTCCTCCTCTCTCTCTCTCTCTCTTTGTTCTATATATCTATCTTCTACTCTGTAAACGTTAGGACCGATTTTGTAATTGTTTTTTTTCTCTCTTTTTACATTATCTATCTATCTTTTTCACATTTACTCTCTCTCTCTCTCTTTTACTCTCTCTTTACATCAACTATCTCTCTCTCTCTTTACTCTCTCTCTCTCTTTCTTTTACTCTCTTTCTCTATCACTCTCTCTCTTTCTCTGTTCTATATCTCTCTCTTCTACTCTCTAAACGTTAGACTCAGATATTTTCTAGTTGTTTTTCTCTCTCTTTTTACATTATCTCTCTCTCTCTCTTTCACTCTCTCTCTCTTTTACTGTCTCTCTCTCTTTTTCACTCTCTCTCTCTTTTACTGTCTCTCTCTCTCTCTTATATTAACTCTCTCTCTCTCTCTCTCTCTGTTCTATATAACTATCTTCTACTCTGTAAACGTTAGGACTGAAGATCTAATTGTTTTTCTCTCTCTTTTTACATTATCTCACTATCTCTTTCACTATTATTCTCTCTCTCTCTCTCTCTCTCTCTCTCTCTCTCTCTCTCTTTACCTCAACTATCTCTCTTTCTCTCTCACTCCCTCTCTTTCTCTGTTCTATATCTCTATCTTCTACTCTCTAAACGATAGCCTCGTTGATTTTCTAGTTGTTTTTCTCTTTTTTTATATTATCTTCCTACCACTTTCACTCTCCCTCTCTCTTTTACTCTCTCTCTCTTTTACTCTCTCTCTCTCTTTCTCTCTCTTACTTTAACTCTCGCTCTCTTCCTCTTTCCCACTCTCTCTGTTTTATATCTCAGGGGTTTGAAAACGTTTTGCTATGTGTTGCTTTAGGGTTTTAAATTCATTCACTATGCCAACAGCATACGTATTTTTATACAAGTCAATATAAGGTCAATTTACCTGTTCTACAATATACTTTATATAGTAATATATATATATATATATATATATATATATATATACTTTAGTATTATTAGAATTGAAACAGCTAACAATTGAAACAGCTTTTTTGCGTTGTAGTAGTTATTGGTTCGGACTTCGTGATGTTATTTGCTGCTGCGTGCCATTTTAAATTACTTGGCGTGCCAACTGTGGCACGCGTGCTGTAGGTGGCCGACACCTACTACATCTCTATATTCTACGCTCTAAACGTTAGCCCTGAAGATTATCTTGTTGTTTTTCTCTATCGTTTTAAATTCTCTCTCTCTCTCTCTCTATTTCTCTTTCTCTCTCTCATCCTCTCTATTTCTCTTTCTCTCTCACACACACTCTCTCTCTCTACCTCTCTTTCTCTCTCTCTATTTCTCTTTCATTTCTCTTCTTTTTTCACTCTCTGCTTTTTTTTTTTTGAATACGTTTGAAAACATCCGGACAAGTGGGTCTCTAAGATCTTTGGGTGACTTACGAATTAATGGGAGATATTTAATGGGACACGTTCCCATCAGCGGTGCTCTGGCCAAACACAGTAAAATCGATGCATTAAAAAAGCCATAAAACAAAAACAAAAAAAACAAAAACAAAGCAAAAAATAAAGCGATCTCAGTCACTTTCTATATTGTTTACAACAATATACAGAGAGAAATGTCCTAGGGCAAATGAAATGTATGCAAATTAAAAACTGAAAAGTGTATCCGAAGAAAATGATTTGATTAATTAATTTTCTTTTCTTTTTTTATGAATGATATCATTATGCTGATTCCTAGTATTAAATAATAACAATAATAATGGTGTAAAGTATGAATGGATGACGGGATATTCCATTCTGAAGAAATCTTTCTGTCTCCCATGTCTGTTATTTTATCAACATGGACAACTATCGGCTACTACGATTTGAACAATTTGACAAAAGATGTGAGAAATTACGAAAAAAAATCTGAGAAACCTGAAAACGTTTGTCCGACAATTAACACAGCAATCGAACACTGGAAAACAGTATTAGTATAGTGGCATCTGCAACACAGAGTTTACCGACTATTTTGTGTTAGGAAGAATAACGTGTTTTAGTCTTCCAGTAGCACACCGATACTAATATTAGCCTTAGTGTAGCCATTGATACACTAACACTGAATACGAATATAGAAAGACGAAATACGCGAGCGTAACAAACAAAACATTTAATAAGGCAAACAACTTACATACATATATTAAAAAGATGTACGTATGTCCCAAAACAAATGATTGCCCATATTATCCCAAAGGAACGAGGAGGTTTACAGAACGAGAAAAAAAAAAATAACATACCAGGTATATGGCCTTTGATAGTCCGCAGATAAGTGAATAGAAATTACTTTTTTCTTTCACTAGCCCGTGCACATGTTGACCAGTTTCCACGTGTGTGGACACCCTGGTGGTCCGGAAGCAAAGACACAAAAGGACTGAAGAGTTCTACTCTCTAAGGGGGCCAAAATTCCCATGAGCTCAACACAACGGAAAACAACTGTGGTCTCCCTACAACAGCTTCGATTCAGTTGTATAAATCACAATAAACTGAAGAGTTTCATTTCTTGCATTGAAACGTTACCATTTGGAGAATACGATGAAATCGAAGACAATAGGGATCATTTTCTGCCTAGATGTGGCGCAGTAACAGAATACAGTGATTGTTTAATATCGCGATTTAGATTTTGTGAAAAAAAAAGAAGCCAAATGTACATTTGTTAAATAATGCTCTAGTAGACTATTATATTTTAAAGAATTTTATTCTTTTCTCACTTTTTTGACCTTTGAGGTCAGATGCAGGAAAAAATAGGAAGTTGTTTTTGATTGGTTAAAGCTAGCGGGGAAATGTTAGAGAGATACAAAGGGATTTCATGGAATTAAGTTTTACACGTCATACACCGCAGACGTGGTTATTTCGTGACTCACTGAACTTGCTCCCTAGTGGGAGTGATAGCGTAATGTGCATATTGACGTCTTTAATAAAATAGATAATTTTAAATTCCCTTTTGTTGAAGTTCTTGTCATCTCAGAAGTCCAAACACATTTAATCATCCAGCCGGGAGAAAACGAGTGAGAGAAGATTGAATGTCATGGAATCGACCCGGTCAACCAAAAGACCCCAGAACGAGGCTATACAAAATTTTGCTGATTTGGCGCAGTGGCCAAAGTTTCGCCAGAAGAGAGGGCTATATTTCGGGATTATTAATTGATATTTTATTAATTTTTGTTTTTCAATTTGTTATACCTGACGTACCTATTCTATTGTAATAGACTCTCCCATACATAATAAGTAGTAGTAGTAGTAGTAGCGGTCGCCAGTGGAGCTCAGTGGTGTTGAGTGAGTCAGTCGATGTCGGACATTGAAGTATCAACAATCACAACTAGATTGCTGCGTCATTAACTCTTATTTCAAGTTCCTAACGTTTTGTACGTCGAACCTAATTTAGGACGACTTATTGAAATACAAGCCTCCACTGTGAAAACTACTCTACAACACAATTTGAGTAAATTTCGACGTTCGGTAGTTTTAGTTGGTAAGGATGAAGGTAAAAAAATATTTTAGGACAAGGTTTTAGAGAAAATTGAAACAAAGAAGGAAACTTATAATTAACATTAGAACGAATCAGTTAATATTTCTGGCGTACGTAATGAGGACGGAGGACTGGGAAAATCTGATACTCACAGGACGGATTGAAGAAAAGCGAGACATACTTGATAAGCTTCAGCAAATGGATATTCTCGCAGGGTTTAGGAAAAACAGCAAAAAGTTAGTAAGAACTACAAGAGAGAGAAAGATGTGGAGGGCGATGATCGCCTACGTCCTGAATGAACACAGCACATAAAAGGAAAAGAGATGAGTGGATTAAGAGATGTCCCATTTAGAACAAATTATTCTGTTTCACACATCTGTTATTTTGTCAACATAAGAAAACATGGACGACTATCGACCACTGTGATTTAAATAATTTGATTACAAATTTGACAACACACAAAAAATCTCTGAAGCACCTGAATTCTGTATTTGCTCAGAATACATTTCGACGACAACGAATTGTCACAGCAATCGATCACTGAAAAGCAGACTCAATCCAGTTGCATAATCGATCAGTCGAGAAAATCGTGATATATTGAAGAGGTTAATTCATTGGATTGAAAATGCTGGCCTGTCAAGAATTATACGTTCGAGAATGTAAGAGGAAGGGAGTTCAACTGCCGGGAAGTGCGACAAAAGAAGCTGTTGGAGTAGAAGAGGCGGTTACATTTAACTTTTACGACACTTACAAGAATCTTGTATAATTTAAATAATAATGATAACTATTAAATTAATTTCTAATGCATTTTTTCTTTATTTTTAAGCATTTCAATCCAAGCAAGGCAGGAGTTTACAGAGAGTGAGAGCAAGAGGCGTGTTTAAGCAAAGAATAAAGAGAAGGATGGTGAACAATATCAGAAGATGTCAATTGATATTACATTTAAATTTTTGAAGATTATAGTTATCAGGGTAACATGTAAGCTGAAGGGAGTTCCACTGTCGGGAAGTGCAACAGAAGAAGATGTTGGAGTAGAAGAGGCAGCTACACTTCACGGTTTCGACATTACTAGAATTATTTTTTTTACAGATTAAAAATGATGATAACTAAGAATTTAATTTCTAATGAATTTTCTCTTGCTTTTTTTTTTTTCTTTTTTTTTTCTTTTTTTAAAGCATTTCACCCCAAGCAAGGCAGGAGTGCCATTAGCACGCAAGGGGTTACAGAGGATTGAGAACAAGAGTAAAGAGGCATGTTTGAGGAAAGGATACAGAGAAGGATGCGGATCAAGATCAAGGCATTAGAAGATGTCGATTGACATTATATTTGAATATTTGAAAATTATAGCTATCAGGGAAGCAAATAAGAAGAATGGAGTTCCGCTGTCGGGAAGTGCAAAAGAATAAGCTGCTGTAGTAGAAGAAGCAGTTATATTTAACCGTTTCCACAGTGAAAGGGTGGGACCGAGATACCAGTAGTAGCAAGCTTAAATTCACGCAGTTGGGGTACCAGTGAAAGTAGCTCGCTAGAGCAGTTGCATTGTCAATATTTGTAGAAAAGACACAGTACGTCTGCAAGAAAATGACTGTAGATGAGATGACAGATCAGGATCGATCACATTTCGTGAAGAAAATATGAAGACATCTACGCATTTTCTGGACTGATATTCAAAACATCATTAATTGTATTGTTGCAACAGCTGAAGATGAACTTAAGCCAATGATAAAAAAAAAATCGTATATGCCGGCGTATAAGTCGACTGAGTGTATAAGTCGACCCTGAAATTTTCAAGCTATAGTTTCGGGCTATATTCGCAATACAAATAGACCAGAAAATCGTATTTTAAAATGTGTTGTATTTAATTTAATAAATATATGCTGTAAGCATATAGTTTTTTTCCTGCAAATTCCAATAAAAAAAAACAGTGGAGAGGTATTGTCAATTAACTACCACAATCGCCAATACCTCATGACTGGGTGCTGTGTTTTCGGTAGCCTGAATTGCCACCCCCAACACCGTAACTATCCACTGATTCCACTGTTCTTGACTGCCATCTTTAAATGGCTTTTTGAGACACACATCCAGTTGTATTTTTGTTTAACATCATCGAAAAAAGTAAGCGATATATTGTCAATTAGCTACACAATCTCCATTTACCACAACAATGTGAATTACAGTGCTGTTCGATAAAAGTGACTCACCTGATTTTTTTTACTAAATGTTCTCTTCTCCGATGAAACGAAAGTTGAGCTAAATTCAAAGGATAAGCGATCTAAAATCCGAAGAAGCTTTGAAAGCTCTTTGAATTTAGCAGTAATGTACTGTCAAGCATCCGTTCAGTATAATGTTCTGGGGATGCTTTTCTTTTCATGGAACTGGTTTCTTAAAACCTACTGAAAAGACTGTCAGGAGTGAGCAGTACAAGAGAATTTTAGAGTCTTTTCTGCTCCCTTCTGCTGAAAGGGTGCAAATCGACCCCACCAAGCTCATTTTTATGCAGGATAATGCTACCTGTCACAAATCAAATTTGATGAGAAGCTGTAGCAACAATACAACTTTGATGAGAAGCAGGTGAGTGTTATAAGATGGGCGCCCCAATCTCCTGACCTCAACCCCATAGAAAACTTATCGAGCATTATAAAATACAGGCTCTCGAGAAAGAAGTTGAGCAACATGCTCCATAAGTTTTCTTCAATTGTACAAAAATGCTAACATCAATTAGAGAAACAATTGTACTCACCAGAAGAAAAACAGGAAAAGAAAAACCATTTGGTATACCCCTCCGTTCAACCAAATAGTTAGTATTAAGTTAGGACATAAATTCCTAGCTTTAATTGAAAAACACTTTCCTACAAATAGCAGACTCAATATACTCTTTAATAAAAACACCC